CGCAACCCTTAAAGTCCTCTGGTTTGTGGATGCACAGCAGTGATTTTAGACCCATCTATAGTAACATAACTGGAGATCAAGCTTGTGACTTTTGATACTTCCTCTCGATACATTCATGTCGGACATTTGATGTGTCCATGACTTTTCAAATTCTGCATGCTGTACTTTCTGCTCTGCTGAGCTGTTCTACCATTTCGTAACTGTACCAGCTATTTATTACAGTAGAATAGCTTATTAGTTACTCTTACACCAGCTCCTCACACTGAACCAAAGTAGGAACCAAATGCTGTACAGTGAAGAAACTCAACACTCTCCAAATTCACTTGACTTAAAATCTGCGCTCAGCTTGAAAGCTGTACTGAGTACTCTGTATTTATGCACTGGAGTTACAATGTAGTAACCAAATGGAACTGAGATGAGTTCATCTGCCCGAGTAGAGGGTGGTGTGAAAGGTCTTGACAGTGCATCCTCTGAGGGTTCTGCTTGTCTGAAGGGACATGTGGAACTGGGATTGATGGACCTCTGCATCTGGGCTCTTTCTCACCTGGCTGTAGATTGTGAGTATGATCTGGAGGCTACAGAAAACAATATAAAGATTTGGTTGCGTTACTTAACTAAATTCCCTGCATATTACAATTAATAACTATATCCACTTAAACATCTGCATCTTATAACATCTCAATAGAGACCAGATTATGGAGACCAAGTACCGTTTTACAGCAATGGGATGATATAAAAAGATATTTCACAAAGTGCTAGTTATAGGATAGACTGATGAATATGCCTGATTAATTAGTTATACACGTTGTATGTCAGTGTCTCAAGAATAACGATGCCTTCATATAAGCTTCAGGGAACTAAATTATTGTTAATTATTCATTTTTGATTTTTTTAAGCAATGTATTTTGTTTTTAGCTAATCTGTGTGTAATATTTAATCCTTGGCTAACTGAAAAGAGGATCACAAGGCACCTGCTTTAATGCTACAGGGTTAGTCATTAAACTGCTAGCAATGCAAAATAATCTCAAGATGTAACATTTTGGACTGTTATGCGGATGACTCCTGTGATTTTTGTTCTGATTGCTGAAAGCAAAAGTGTAGGTTGAATGCTCTGCTTTAGTTCAGATTTGACATTTTGTAACAGAAAATGATGAGCTGTTAGAATTAATTAATTGTAGGAGTGGTCCTTATTTGCTTTCTCGCATGACTTATCTCAAACTATAAAATTAATATTCGCCATCTCCAGGAACTTGTCCCAATAGTGATGTAACAAGGTGCTGATGTTTATGTGGATGTAGTTATTGATTGTAATATGCAGGGAATTTAGTTGTGGCAGTTTTATGCTGCACCATTACAAAACAAAATGCAATATAGCACTTACATTTGAAGATAGAAAAACTAAGATTTTAAAATACTTTTAATCAACCCATTCAAATATGTTATGAAATGTCTAGAGCAGGTGGGACTTGAACCCATGCCTTCTGGCTTAGAGAAAGGAACATTACCACAAATGCTGTCTTTAAGTATTGGATTATGGCATAAATTTCAGACCAGCCTGCAACTTTAAGACAGTTATATGACATCATGGCATGTGATGTTCAAGTATAAATTGTCTAAAATATAAAGTCACTCTTTGTGTAATGAAAACAGTTATGTGAAAGCACAGAACCCAGACTGTGTGTGCAAGTCTGTAATATTGTAGCATTGTAAATAAATAGTGTTGTTAATAAACCTTAAGACATCTGTCTCAATAATAATCCAGTCTTTGTGGTAAATGTGACATTGGCTAACATATAGAAAGCTGCAAAGGACATTACCAAAGGTTACAGAACCAAATCAAGTAGATAGATTTGACATAGATATCACCCTGACCATTGAATGGTAAGACCAGTTTGAGGAGCTAAATAGTCTGCTCCTTTTCCTATATATCTATTCCTGACATTTCAGTTGTATTTCTCAACTTCTACACTTACTTCAGAATGAGATAATTTGATGCTTTGCAGCTTATACCCACACCTGATAATTTTAACTCTGGGGATCTCAAACTTGAATACGTTTGTTTAAATTGGAAAAAAAATTATAATTCATGACATGTCAGTACCAGGCTGAATGTCAGCCAATGTTTTACATTTCGGAATCACTGTTAAGAATTCATTCATCAATCAATATTGATATGTAATTCAGACACTTGACCATTTAGTATCAAATGTGGAAATAAACTAAATGGCACATGTACCAGACTATTTTAAAATAAACAGTTCCCAGTGAATGACTGTATGGTATTGAGGGCTAGAGGACAGTGAATAATTGAACAGGGAGAACAGATGTCATTCAATCTTCATTTTTAAACACATCTTTTCTATCCTTATTTCTATATTGCCGCTTGATTTTATTTAGTATGTTAAATGTGAAATGCAAAACAAATGACACTTTAGGAAGCAGAAAAATCTCACTCTTATGGTAGACTCCATAATGATTTCATCATCTTCTGTGTGTCATCTCAGTCCTGAGTCTGATAACATGTACTGCCACTTCTGTGGATCATCATTGTTTGTATTTTAGAGATGATTTGCTTGGAGCTCCATCTTATCTGCAGTACATGCTGATGCTGAGGAGCTGGTATCTGCAAAACAATAACTCTAAGGTTTCAGGAATTACCCTGTTGGTCTTGCGTTCTACCAACGGTGAATTCCTGACGAAGGTACACAGGAAAGCCATACACACTGACCAAGTACTGAATTTCAGCGGCAACCACCCTAACACCCACAGACAAAGTTGCGTGAAAACACTATTTAAACGAGCAACAACACACTGCAACAACACAGAACTACGCCAAAAAGAGGAAGAGTACCTCCTCCAAGCATTCAAGGACAACAGATACCCAAAAAACTGGGTGAGACAATATCTATTACAAGAACAACACCAGGAAGGTACTGCATGCCCCAACACACTCATCACGCTACCATACGTCAAGAGCACATCTGAACTGATCACAAGACTCCTACAACAACTGGGAATCAGAGTAGCACGCAAACCCACATCAACCCTACGCCAACTGTTAACCGGAACCAAAGACCCCTTACCCACTATGGATAGAACCAACGTTATATACAAAATTCCTTGCAAAGACTGTGACAAACATTACATTGGACAGACAGGAAGAAAATTAACCACAAGAGTACACAAACACCAACTAGCAACAAAAAGACATGACCAATACTCACAACACCAGGATCCTAGGACAGGCCAAGCAGAGACAAGCATGGGAATTCCTAGAGACCTGGTTCTCCACTAAGAAAGCCATCAACAAACACATAGAGCTAGACCCTATATATACTCCACTGCAAAGGAAAACCAGAAGTGAGGTAATCCAACTCAAAGGACACCAGAGTTTAAATACCAGGTGGGAAAACACAACAGCGCTTCATTGGAGGCTGCACTAATGATGTTACCGAGCAGGGTAATGAAACGTCTGCGGAACAACGAACCAGCTTGGCAAGTGAACCATTCACAGCAAAACAATAACTTCTGAAGAGTCAACACCGGTGATAGGTTGAAATCACTGCTAGACAAGTTCACACAGGTATTTACAATTGGTTGTGTGGACATGGGAACTGAAGGAAAGGGCCCTCTTGCGGCCCAGGTTCAAGTCCCAACTGCTCCAGAGATGTGTAATAACATCTCTGAACAGATTGATTAGAAAAATGGGAACTCAAGGAATTGCTCTGCCCTTAACTGGCTCTGCATGTAAATTAATCAATGGAAAACACAGGTGATTTGTTCCTGTTTGTGGTAAAATTGAATGGAATTTAGATGGTTCTTGTGGCATGGTAGTAGTGTCCCTGCCTCTGAGCTAGGAGGCCTGAGGTCAACTCACACCAGAGGCGTGTAATAACATCTTTGAACAGCTTGGATCAAACATATTTAGAAAAGGGAACTTAAGGGATTGAGAGGATTTGGGTTCATGTCCCACCATACCCCCAAAAGTGTGTCAGAACACATCTGAATAGGTCAATTTAAAATATACGAGCAAATTTTGGACACGCCATTGTCCTGTTATTCTCACATTCCATTCACTTATTCTGAACTATCAACATCCCCCAGCACTCCACTATCACCAAACTCCCAACTGTTGCATAAATGCTGCCCCCTCCACACTTCATGTCAGCTCTGATGAAGAGTCATCTAGACTTGAAACTTTGGCTTGCTTTCTCTCCATGGATGCTGCCTAGCCTGCTGTCATTTCCAGCATGTTTTGTTTCCAGTTAATTTAAAATATTTATGTTGTATCACAATTAGTAAAATAAATGTGAACTTAAGGGTGTGATGCAATGGTACTGTCCCTACTTCTGAGCTAGGAGGCATGGATTCAAGTCCCACCTGGTCCAGAGTTGTGTAAAAATACCCTTGGACAAGTTGAGTAATGAATACCTGGGAACCCAAGGGAAGGGGCTCTTTTAGCACAGTGGTAGTGTCATTACCCCAAGACCAAGAGGCCCAGGTTCAAGTCCTATCTGTTCCGGAGGTGTGTCATAATATGTCCGAAAAGATTGCTTAGGGAAATATCTAGGAACTTAAGGAAATAAGCTGATACAAGCTCATTACAAAAGCATGACAACTGGAAGAAAAATTCTTGTTGGCAAGAAGTGCACACTGTTTTAAGATTTTTTGGTCTGTTATGGATAAATGCATGAGGTCACTCATCAATTTTTAAAGATCATAGGATTTTGTGAAGAAACCTTTTTTGATTGCTTAACTAGTTTAATTACCATTTCCCAAGGGTCATTGTAGTCTGCATTATTACAATTGCTAAAAAAGAACAGCTGCAACAAAGCATTATGAAATTGTCACCTCAGTACAGTTTGCACATGTGCTACCCCTGACACACAGCACTTAAGACACTTTAGTCTTTATGTTCAAGGATGATGTCTAAGGGATAACTAATCACAATAAATATTTCTTAAAACATTAATACATATTTTCTTTACAAGACCTGTGGATATTTGGGCATTTGGATGCATGAGTATTGAAATGGCAACAGGAAATCCGTACCTGCCAGGAAACTCTGACTTAGATCAGATCCACAAGATAGTGACACAAGTGGGTAAGTACAAGTCAAAAGGTTTAATTATTATTCAAGGTCTATTGTACCAGTTATTGACATGAATTTAACAAATGCGCTTTAAAATAGAAGTGTACAGAGATGTAATTGAAATAAAATATATGTCTACAGTAGCTAAAAGTAATGGATTGAAATGGAAGAATAAAGGAATTTTACTATGTTTATACAAGGTGTTAATGAGACCACACCTGGACTATCATTCAGTTGTGGTCTTCTTACACAAAGAAGAACATTCCTTCCCTAGATGGAGAGCAACAACATCTTCACATGGGTAGTGGATTCAAACCAGATGATGAAGTATAAAAAAGATAACATGCTTTGCCTGGATAATGAATTGTTTCACAGCTGCAGCCTTACAAACCTTACTTTCTTATATCTTAACTTCTCAGGCCTAGAGACAACATTTTCCATTCTTTTCTCACCAGGAATATGATGGCCCCAGCCATATTTGAATATCCATCTGGAAGATTGGCATGGGAAGAGTCACTGAAAAGGATTAACTTCATATCTTTCAGGTCACCCAAGGCTGAAAACTAGAGTGTGCATTTCTCCAAATTTAATCCTAAGGTTTTATTTATTCTTGGGGCCTCCTCAACTATCGTGTGTTCTATCATTGTAGTCCATTCCAGTTTGTCAAACTTGGCACAGATCTTGTCTGAATGCACAGTTATTTTAACTGACCTATCAACTTTAAATTGATCTGTTTCTTCCCTAGATTCAAAATCATCTTTCTCCAGAAACCTGGTCTGATTTACTGGGAAATAATTTAACACTATGATTGTTGATTCAAGGGTATTCCAGACCTGGGCTGAGTACTTACTAACCACATATACTAAAAGACCCCCAGAAGCCAGAATTACAAGTTTAAAATCATCTTCTAACTTATCTGAATTAAATAGGTCAAACTCCACAGATCCTGTGCAGGGGAAATCATTGACATGCATCATATAGTCCCATAGAATCCCTACAGTGTGGAAACAGGCCATTCAGCCCATCGAGTTTACACTGACCCTCTGAAGAGCATCCCACCCAGACCCACCCCCTACCCTATCCCTGCATTTCCCACCCTAGACACTGTGGGCAATTTAGCATAGCCAATCCACCTAAACTGCACACCTTTAGACTGTAGGAGGAAGCCAGAGCAAACCCAGTTAGAATGTGCAGACGCCACACAGACAATTGCCCAAGGCTGGAATCATACTGGGTATCCCTGGTGCTGTGAGGCAGCAGTGTTAACCACTTTGCCACTGTGCTGCCTTCTAAGTTGTCTGTGAAGTTCTATTTGTAATACAGTAGTATGTGGTTTGATCTGTTTTCAGCTGAATGCAACCTACTTTCAGAAAGAAGCATCTATCCAACAAATATCATATTCTTGGTACATCATTCAATACATAAACACATTTGTTTAATTATTGTTTCAATTCTTCTGTAAATGGTTTCAAAAACACTTTTTTTTCCAAATTTTCCCCCTGCAAAACCAATTGATTTACATTCCCAAGAATATCTGGCTAAAAGAGTTAAGAAAATCTTCAAGGTCATGTTTCTTGTGGTGGAGGAGTCAACTCTAAAATTTTGAAATCCCAAGTCAGTGGTCTTGCTCTGACTTTCTATGCCTTATCAGGAAGTCCTTCTGAGGCTGCCTTCCAAGATCTCCAATATCACAGGTCCCAGTCTCCAACCAATTTAATTCACTGCACATGATATCATGGAACAGCTGAGGTACTAGATATTGCAGAGGCGATGGCCCTGAGTGCATTCTAGCAATAGTACTGATGACTTGAGTGACACAGTAGCACAGTGGTTAGCTTTGCTGTCTCACAGTGCCAGGGACCCAGGTTCAATTCCACGCGCAGGCGACTGTCTGTGTTGAGTTTGCACATTCTCCAGGTGTCTGCATGGATTTCCTCCACAGTCCAAACATATGGAGGAAAGGTGGATTATCTATGCTAAATTGCCCATCGTGTCCAGGGCTGTGCAGGCTAGGTGGATTAGCTGTGGGAAATGCAGTGTTACAAAGATAGGGTGGGTGGGTGGAATACTCATTGGAGGGTCTGTGTGGACTTGATGGGCTGAATGCCCTGCTTCCACACTGTAGGGATTCTATGATTCTATGAATTGCTGCTCTTGCCCCATCAACCACCACCAGCCAAGTTATTCCTACAAAGCTGGCATGTAACCAACAATGTGGAAGATTACCCGTGTACTTCCTGTACATAAAAAGCATGGCAAATTGAACCCAGCCAATTCCTGCCTGATCAATAGACACTTGATTGTCAGCAAAGTGATGGAAGGGGTTATTGACAGGTTTAAAAAGCAGCACATACAAAGGAAAGTTCTGCTTGCTGGCCCTCTGCCTGGGTTCTGCTAAGGGCATTTGGCTGCTGACCTCACTATAGCCTTGACGCAAGCATGGACAAAGGAACTGAAGACCAAGGTGAGGCCGAAGTGACTATCCTTAACATAAGTCAGCACTTGACTAAAGATGGCATCAAGAAGACCAAATAGAAGTAGAGTCAAGGAGAATCATGGTTAAAAACTCTCTACTGAATGGTGTCATAGCTAATGCAAAAGATATTTGTGATTGTCTCATGTCAGCCTCCCCAGCCCCAGAATGTCAGTGCAAGTATTCTTTACGGTAACGTCCTGGGACCAACTATCTTTAGATGTTTTAGCAGTGGTAAAGATTGTACTATATTCAACACCATTTGCAACACCTCAGATAATTAAGCAGCCAGCGTGCATACGAGCTAATAATTCGCAAGTAACATTTGTGCTTCAAAAGTACCAGGATATACCCATTTCCAAGAAAAGAGAATTTAACCATCGTCCCTTGATATTCAATGGCATCACTGAATCCTTGATCATCATCATCCTGGGGTATACCAGTGATCAGATAAGTACTGTGGGAACACTGCAGGTCAGGGGCTAGGAATTCTGTGGCAAATGACACACCTCCTGTCTCCTTGTTCCTGTCCACCATGTATAAGACACATATCAGGAATGTAATGGAATATACTGCACTTGCCCAGTTGGCTATAGCTCCAACAATACTCAAGAAGATTGATACTACTCAGGACATTGATGCACAATATCATCCAAAGATACACTGCAGTAACTCACCAAAGCTTCTCTGACAACTCCTTCCAAATCTGCAACCTCTACCACCTACAAAGATGGGGGTATGCATCAAAACACCAACAGGAATTTCCCCTCCAAACCACACATCATTCTGTCTTAGAACTATGGAGCTGATATGTTTGAACCTTAAAGAGACCTGCATTTGTCCCTGCAGTAATATTTGTCACTCTGGCACTGAGTAATTATCCTTTGAGAGAAATAGTCCAATCTATCACTTTGTCTATCCTCCTCCAGTCTCTTATGTACTGTATTCTGTTCCTCATAACTGTCAAACATATGAGTAAGTGAATTGCATTTGCTTCATCACCTTCTATCGTTGCTCAGATTCTACAAGTTAATAATCAATCCTGAATAACCTAGGTTGATAATACTATAATAATTTAACTCCCATCATTGGAGAATTACTATCATTCCCTATCAATTAATGTAAACCTTTCCATTCTTTCTGACAATATCTTTTATAACATAAAGAATGCCCAGAATTAAACTTTATCCCTCATAATATAATACAATACCATAAGGCATGCCAAATTTTCTCTATGATTCTAGCTTTGATGAATGTTCTTCTCCCTGCATCTAGGTCATCCAAGTATGCAGAAAAGGTGGAACTATTTGTGGTCCCTTCCAAGAGTGGGGAATGATCATACATCACTGGTATTTTTGGATTGCTTCCAAAGATCAACTGATACAGACTATAGCCTCTGACCAGTGAGATTAATTTTCCACATAGGCTGCCCATGCTGGGGCAGTTGTTGACTTATAATTTGGCTGGTCACTTAAGGTGTTATGGAGCATCTTATCAATCACTGTGTGTGATTTATTTGACAAAGCCTGTTCCTGAAGGGACTTTTCAACTGTTGTGTTTATCCCTGCAATGTTCAAGCACAAGTCTCTAAACTTGTTGTTGTTAACATCTGTGTATGTTCATAGGGTCCTCCTTTTTGAATTGTATGATTCAAGTGGTTAACCTTTTGTTTGAACTAGTTAAAGGCTAATTTATTACATGCTTTTGTTGAAGGTCCCTGAAGAATAATGAGATAAACTTATTAACTAAAAGTTACAGAATCATGTAGGTTTAACAGCGCAGAAAGAGGCTATTGCCCCATTGTACCCATACCAGCTCTTTAAATGAGTATCATTATCTCTGGCAATCTCCAGTTTTCTCCCCCCCACCCTTGGGCATTATTTTTATCCAAATAATCATCCAATGCCCTCTCCATTGTCTCAGTTTGCCCTGCCTCCTCCACAATTCCAGGCAGTGCATTTCAAACCCTAATTACTCGTTGTGTGAAAAGGATTTTTTTCTCACATCACCCTTGCTTCTTTTGCAAATCACTTTAAATCTATGCTTTCTCACCCTCATTCCTTTTACAAGCAGAAACAGTTTCACCGTATCCACTTTATCTAGCCCAAGCATGATTTTGAAAACCTCTATCAGATCCCTTCCTCTCTCTAAGGAGGACAGTTCCAACTTGTTCATGCTCATAACTGAAGTTTCTCATCCCTGCAACCATTCTTATAAATCATATCTACACTCTCTCCAATGTGTTCACATCCTTCATATAATGTGATCCCCAAGCTGTACATAATACTCCACCTGATGTCGAACAAGATACCAAGACTAAACCAAATACAGATAAGATGAAGACCTCAAACGAGAAAGTTTGAGTAAATCTCTACAGTATACCATTGGGACATGCAATGTCATTTGAGTTTCTTCTTGTTGAAATGAAGGTTAACCCTTCAGGTCTGATCCAGCAGCTGCAATATCACTGAAGTTGAATAGTTGGTGTTTTCATGTAAGATGGGCTCAATGTGACAACAGATTTTAGGAGAGAGAGAAG